CAGAATAAAAAATGGAAAGAAAACTACCTTTAAAGTCAAGAGAGTTGACTCTCTGCTCTAAAACCAATTTAATACAAAGGTGGTCAGTTCGGTACAGCGGCATAACTCCTGACTTAATTATATCAGCATGATGAAAACCTGGCCTCACAGGACCCCTGATTTTGTAAACATTGTTGGGGTTGAACACACAAAATCTGCCCTATTTGTCATGTATCACTTTAAGCTAATATAGTGGCAAATTACTATGGAAGTCATGACATATTAGACTATTTATTTAAAATGCTTCCTATTTTGAAAACAAATCCAAACCCTTTTCTGGTCTTGAGAGGCATTCTCAACTACCCTATCAAAATAAATGTCTCATTTAACCATCTCTCTCCAGCCCTCTAAACTGTCAAATCACTAATGACACAGCCTAGATCACTTCTATTGATGCATAGTACAAACACTGTATGCTACTATAGGGCAGTGTAATATAATCAATAACCATCAGAATATAAACATATTTTGCACAGCTACAATGCTGTTCTCTATTCAGTATGTTAATAATCCAATTTAATATTGTATAATAAATTGTAATAATACATGCAATTGTAGGTATCGAACCATTTTTTCATTGGAAAAGTTCTGGAATTCTCTAACAAAAGAGAATACAAAGTAAATTTAAATAAATAAAATGCTATTCAAGAAAAAAGAAATACATTCATTCATATACAAGTAATATTCTGACTTACACCATTCTTATGCAGAAACTATAACTAAAATTAATTACATGCAATAATTACTACCAACTAATGTCAAGCACTTCTTCTGTATTATCAATAATTAAGTATCTTTACAAAATCACCTTTTAAAAATCAGTCTTGGTTACAAAGATTAAAAGAGAATCAAACCAGTTGTACAAAATACAACTGTATTAATTTAATTAAAAAAGAAACCAAAACAAAACACAATGCTAATCGATTACTGACATATTTGCCAAAAGTAAAAGTAATTGAACAACACAGGAAATGAAGACAGGAAACCAGGGAAGGTTTTAAGGTTTGTAATGCATCACCCTAAAAAAACAAAGGACTACCTCTGAGAAATAGTGAGCAGCTATCAAATACCACAAGAAAAGTGAGTCACAAGCACTGTTCTGACGAATAGCTTGGTTTAGATTTGCCAGCCTGAAAAGATATGAATGCAGTACTAGCATGCCACACAGTTCTTCATCTGAGAATTAATTATCACTGACCTGGGCTTTTTTAAGCCTAGAAGACGTTTTGTCATCACACTCCAACCTGTGTGCTTTGTTTCCATGAACTACAGGTAAGAACAAGAAGCTTTGTGCCAGTGTTTCTGAATATGGATGGCAGACATGCAATTTGAATTCTTTTTCCTTTCTACTTATTATTCATCATCAAGATAATTTTGCAATGGCATTTGTCTATCACAGAATCACAAAGCAGTTTGTCCAAATGAGTTGTGAAGAACTCCAAGGATGAATATTCCACAGCTTCCCTAAGCAATTTGTTCCAGGGCTTAACCACCCTCACTGTGAAGTTTTTTTTTTCTCCTCATATTCATATATTCCTATGTTCATTTCCTCTTCATATTTTGTTTGCACTTGTTTGCACCTGTTCTCTCCTGCCCTTTTGCTGCATATGTCTGCAAAAAGCTTACCTCTGTCTTCTCAGTAACTTTTAATTAATTAAGCAAGAACTAATAATAATAGAACTGCCCTTACTCTTCTCTTCTCAAGACTGAGCAATCTCAGTTCCATCAGTGATTCCTAGATGTGCTTCAGCCTCCAAAGCCTTCTGGTGTCTCTCCGCTGCACTCCGTCCAGTCCAACAGTCTTTCTGCTGTGAGCCCAAAACTGTACACAGTATTTTAGATATGGCCTCATAAGTATTAAATAAAAGGATATAATCACTCTCCTAATCTCTAATTCTTTGCTGTTATTAACAACAGTAGTTACAGTTCTAATCTCTGTGATGAATTTGGTTATTGGCTATCGTAATCACAGTGTGATTATTTCATATTGTGAAATGATCTATAATATGGACAATAATACTAAGCCATAATTTGAGGATGATTGGCACAAAATGATCTGTCAGTGCTACTGAAGTTAGTTGAGCAAGAAATTTTTCATTTTATCCTATCTTCTTCCTCTTTCTAAAAATTCAACATCTGTGAGGGAAATGAAGCAGGCTTTTGCCTTGTCAGGCTGTAGCCTGAATCACTGATAGATTTTTAATTCATTAATATATTCTTTACTTGTCATTCTTCCCATTGGAAAAATGTAACCTGGGGGGTGACAAAACAGACACAGACAGATTCAGGACTCCCCAGCCTAATTTGAAATTAATCAGCAGTGATAGATACATCAATAGAACAGAACCATTTTGGAGACGTGGTGGCAGTTGCAATAATATTCAGCAGCAACACAAACTGTTCAGAGATCTGCGATTCAAGAGAAATTGCTCCAGAACTGGAGAGAGGAGCAAATTACCTTGGGAAGAGATGAAACCTTCTTCAGTAGGTAGTTTGAAAATAGTCTAAATAAGTATCTCTGGGTAAACTATTTCTCCTTCAGTCAAAAGGCTGCCGTAGATGATCCCTGAAGTCCCATCCAGGCCAGTACTTTCCTGACGCCAGAGGAAAAAAAAAATCCCATTACTCATCTGGTAAACATGCACAAGATAAATATTTTGCCAACCTCTCTTCAAAAGCATTAAAGCACCAACACTTAACTGAAACCTCTTTCATAGTATTCAGTAGTCATTGTCTGGAAGCTGGAGCCATATGGTGCACATACTGCTGCAATACCTGGAATACTCATGTGTGCAAGAAAAGGAAGCCCCTGGTATGAACATCGAGTCATAGCTGACCACAGAGTCAATCTGGTTTGTATCAATCTTCCTCAAGCCACACATTTCAAATCATACTTCATACAACTTTCCTTTCTCAGTGCCCTTTGCTTTGCTTATTTGAAACAGTCACAACCCACACCCTCAAATGAATCAGGGCCTGTACGCAGGCTGGGAAAACAAAAGTTTTCAGCTGCTCGGATCCAGAAAATTTTATCAATTTACAGGATAGTATTAGGGACACCAAATAAACACTACTGATCAAACAGATTTTCCTAGAACAGACATGGAAGAGGACTGTCAGAGAGGCAAAAGCAGTAATAATGCTACTTTGGATTTATATCACATTCTTCAGCCCATACTCTAATTTCCTCTACTTCATAGACAGACAGACTGAGGATAAGAATCACAATTCAAAGTATATACCATGCAGTAGAAGGTTGGTAACATAACTGACATGTTTGGTGCCAAAATCTAATAAACTATTTCTGTAGGCACAAAAGAGATACCCCTAGAAAACAAGTCAGACCTTAGATAGACTAACTTGTCTATCTAAGGAGGTGTTTTTTAACTCTTGAATAGACAGGTAACTAGCTGAGTGCCAAAACGAGCAAGAATGCTCCACAGCCATGATTTGTACAAAGTGTTCCTCTGCTCTCCTGATTCCCACAATTCCCAATATGTCCCTTTGAAAACAAAAGTCCACAGCTAATTTGCAACAATTCTAAATTCTGAAAAAAATGAATAGGTGAAGCACCAAATTCTAAGGCAGATGAACCCTTCCTTCAGGCCTTGTACTCAGGCTTTCTTCTCCCAGACAATTTTAAAGATGGTTTCAATTACACTTAGAACACAAAATACGTATAAGACACTGAAAGTTCCTGATAAGCCTTCGTGATCTAATGGGTGAGCAACAGTTTTAAAAGCTATATAGGGAAGAAATGTATTTCTATCATTAAGGTCTAGTAGGCCTGTAATCATTTTACCACTTAGGAATAGCTTTACCTCCTGTGGTTTTGTTTGTTTTTTAACAGAAAGTTCTTGGATGCATTCTGTTGATTTTCTAAAGAGCTTCACCAAAACAGGAAAACATTATGTCCTTCATAGCTCCACAAAGGGTGCAACAAAACAAACAATCCAAACAAAAAAGCAAATTATTTTGGCAAAAAATGGGATCCAAAAACGTGAAGCCCTCAACAGGCTGTGTAAGACTACTCCTGCCCCATCAGAAAGCAAATCCTAAGGCTTGTAAAGAAGGAATCATGTAACATGGTGGCATGACTCATAAAAAGAGCAGAATAAATTTACTATGATTTTCAGGCATGGTCTGCTTGGAATGCTGTTAGGATCTGGTTTGCTCTGCTGGAGTATGGACTGGTCCAGGCATGCAAGAGTTAGATAAAAACAAAGAAAAAAAAAGGTTATAACAAAAAATAGACTCCAAAGAATGCAAGAACTACTCTGGATTATATATATTTTTTTTTCCTCATTAACTCTGATGAGTTTGAGATTAAATGACTGATTGCAGCTGTTTAAAAGAAAGCAGGAGCCACATTTGCGCAGTATGATGCTAGATTTAAAGGTCGGGGCTTGCACCTCGACGCAGTAGGAACAGGAAAGTTTAAACTCACCTGGGCAGGAGAGGCATCCGCATCCCACGATGTACCTCACCCAAGTAATTGCTGCTCAGGTCAAATTAGCAGCTTTTATGGTGTAGTTAAGCAGTGACATTCTGAAAGCAGAGAAGGTTAGCAGGTCACATAACTCCTTAAATCCAACTAAGTACCAGTGCTGCGGGGATGGTGTGTCGGGAGGATGAGGAACTCCCTGCCGCAGCCCTTCCGCACCCGCCGTGCCGAGGGATGCCTGTAAGAACGGGAGTTAAGGGTCAGGCAAAGGGTGAAAAAAGCTCAAGGGGTACCAGAAAGCCTAAAAGTCAAAGTGAAAACTCCACGGAGCGTTTCAAAACAGGTGCCGCGGTGGGGAGCGGTTTCCTCAAGCGGAACAAGGCTACGCTCCACTCAGCAAGAGCGCCGGGGTACTCCGCGGGAGGAGAGGCGAAGGAAGGCGGCGATTACTGAGGGAATGGGGTCTGCCGCGACAGGGGGGAATCGGCACCACTCACCTGCAGCCGCCGAGCTGCAGCCTCTGGAAAGGGGGACAGACGGCTCCTCGCCCGACGGCCAACGGGACACGTCAGCCCCCCCGACCAGTGCCGGGAAGAGCTGCGGCGTGGCCGTCCCTCGCTAGGCAGGGCCGCACCTCCTCCGACCTCGCGGGGGCCGGGTGAGCAGCGTCCCGGGAATCTTCCCCTTTCTCCGGGAAGCGCGGCCGGTTCCCTTGGCAGTACTCCCGAGGGCGGGCCCCCGGCCTCCCGCCATCCGTGCCGCAGCTCCTCCCGCCGTCTGAGCCCTCCTCGGGAAAGCCGGCCCCCGCGGAAGAGGGTCAGGCGGCAGGACGAGGCCGTGGGCATGGGGTCAGCGGCGACAAGGGCCGGCCCTGGTGTGGCCAAGCAGGGAGAGGAGGACAAGCAGGGTTAGCCTGAGAGTGAGGAGCAGGGAACGGACACTTTGCTCACAAGGCCACTTTCCCGATCTTCCCAGTCCCGAGCTCGTCAGGAGCTGCATATAGGAATGCGCCACCAGCCTTGCTGCTCGGTGGAAAAGAACCTGGGGGTGCTGATTGATGGCGCGTAACATGATCCAGTTTGTGCCCAGGCAGCCAAGAAAGCCTGTATCAAGCCAGTGTCAGAGATAACACTGCTCTCCCCCCCCCCCCCCTTTTCGGCACTGCTGAGGTTGCACCTTGAATCAGGTGTTCAGTTCTGGGATCCTTACTACAGGAGAGAAATTGTGCTGGAGCGGGTCCAGAATAGGGAAACAAAGGAAGGTGGCTCAGGGGGGATCTTGACTGCTTTCTGCAACTACCTGAAAAAGGATGGAGAGAAGAGATGGCTTGTCTTTTCTCCCAAGAAACAAGTTTTAAGGACAAGAGATAACAGCCTAAAGCTTCACCAGGGGAGGTTTAGATTGGATATTAGGTAAGATTTCTTCACTGAAAGGGTGATCAGGTATTGGAACAGGCTTCCTTGGAAGTGGTGGAATCACTGTCCCTGAAACTGTTCAAAAAACATGTAGAGGAGACCCTCCGTGACATGCTTTAGTGGTCTTGTCAGTCCTGGGGTGATGGTTGGACTTGATGTTCTCAAAGGCCTTTTCCAACCTACTTAATTCTAGGCCTCCAAGATGCCTGTGCCTCTGGTACCGTGGCCCTGGGGCTCCTGTGTCTCTTTGGCTGACTCTAGGGAGAAGGACAGTCACTCTGGCCACCAAGGTTGATGGGGTGAGGACGTGGCCTGGTTCTTGCAGCAAGGCTTGCAGAAAAGGCCATAACCTGTGTGGTATCTCACCACTGCCTTGCATGCAGCTGTCTGACAAAATCCCATTCAGAAAACACATTAAGGAGGGTTACGGCTTGCCACTCCCAGATGCATAGGACCATAAAGCAGGACAGGAGATGAGGAGTTCACCACACCTTTAGCCATCCCCTTGGGCTGTGGGTCCCATCTGACAGGTCTCAGCAGCACGTTCAGGTGCAGTATGCCTCAAGCTCCTTGCTTCCATCAGAAGAGGTACCTGTAAGAAAGTTTTGTTTAAACTTGTTACTTGCCCTTTTCAGGGTGTCTGTGGTGAAAGTTTCTCTAGTTTGTAGTGCTTTTGCATAAAAGAGGTCTTCTGTCTCTTACTTTTTATAAGCTATGTTTATAGGTTAAACATAATGTACTTATTAAGACACTGTTTTCCTTGATTTCCTTTGGGCTCTCTCAAGTTCTGAAAGCTTGGTTGCTTTTCATTGGAAGGATGGATGTGGACTGGGAAGTATTCCGGCTTACAGGCTGTATTACTTTTTATGCTTCCTGCTATATAGCTTGCCTGGTTTTGTTTTGTTTTTTTTTTTCCTTGGAAACAGCACTTACAGTTTGCTTGTGATCCACTTGAGCACCTTGATGCTTTTCTTCTTCTGAGCTGCTGACTAGCTAGTTGATCCCTGCCTCTGTGTTGTAGGGATATCTCATGCTTCCCTCTATTGAGTAACACCCTGTTCTTTAGTCAGTTTTTTCATTTTCTCATGATGCTTTTGCTTTCTAGTCAAGCAAATGATTAGTAGTCAAAGAATACTTTTATTCTTTAGATATTTATTCTGGAGAACTACATCTGTTTCTTCCCTAGAGTTTCTGTGCATGCTGTGTGAGTCATGTAAACAACTTTTAACAGAGGGTAACTACTTACTCATTTTTCATTGCCCCCATGCTGGCAGTTACACTTGTATAAGACCTCAGAAATATGAAAGATGTCTAAAATTGGATGCCAAAATTTTGGCTTCTCGTGTTTCTTTTTTTTGTTTTCCTCCCTTATAGTTATTCACAACTCTGTAATCTGCTAATAATGTTTTTAGACAGCAGAATTAGAAAAGCATACTGAAAAATTATCAATTCTGTATTTGAAAGCAGAATTTGAGAAATATGCCCTAGATCAAACATAGGGGGGTTGTACACTAAGGGATCTGCTAGGAAATGGCGTATCATCATGTAATGAAAACTAAAGGGAATAATTTAGGGCAGCTTAGTTCCAGCACTTTTTGAATCTTGAATGGGTGTCATTGCACTCCTTTTTGTCTTCTGTAGGAGTGAAAATCTTTTGCAGACACTTTTTAAGATATTATGTCACTTTTCTGCTTTCAGTCCCCTCATTTGAAAATGTTTCTTCTTTTAGACCTCTACTGGAGATAACTATGATATGTTTAACATTTTCTGAATCATTTCAACTCTTCTGAGATTATACAATGTTCAGCCCTCTCTTGCCTCTCCGTTTAGGTAGCAGCAATAATCTTGGATGCTGCTTTTGCACACTGATTAAGTTCCAGAACAGTGTAATAGCTTATCTTTTGAATGCTCCAGGCTTATGAACATATGAACCCATTGCTATCTAGAAATAATGTTCAAGGTACTAATTAGTAACTGAAAACCTAACAACTTATTGAATAATGTCTACAAGGAATTTTCACGCCGTGTCAGAAAGTGTTTCAAAAAGCACGTTATTGGATTTCTTATATCTGACGTGGAAAAAACAGAAATAGCAAGAAATAACAAAGGTAAATCCATGAAAGAACTTGGCACTGCAATGTGTCAAGTGTCACAGTGTCTACAGGATTTAAAGCCCAAAGTTAGGTGCTAAAGTTCTTTATATATCAAATCATAGCGATGTACTTTGGAAAGGCCTAGAAGGCAACATCCGGTCCAACCTGAGACCTTCTTTTTTCATGGCACAGAAGAAGAAATGACCACAGTTGTGAATTTCACCCCACATCTGCTAGGTGCTTAGTTACCTGTGTACATATATCCAGTACCCAGCTCTGATACGGCACAGGTGCATAACTGCACTGCTATGAGAGAGCTATGAGAGCTATTTGTAGAGAGAAGAGAAAATTGAAATGCAACCACACGTGAGGCTGTTGACCTGAGATAGTTAGTAGTTCAAGAGGGAAAGTACCAACATGAAAAGGTATAAAATCCTAAAGGAAAAAAAAAAATTCACCTGGGGAAGACTGGTCAAGTCTAGCTGGGGACTACCTAGGAATCGTTGTGTCATGTTATCAGTATGGATGGAGCTGGTGGAGGATGGCAACTTGGTGGTGTTAAGAGAGCCGTGAAAAGTTACCCTTCCCCTTTTGACTCATACCTGCCTGTCCAGCAGAGACTTCTCAGGTAGCTTAATAGGAGTGGCATGTTTGCTAATGGTTAGTCTAAAGCTTATTAAACCCTAACTAATAAGCCAATGTGTGTTAGCCAATAACTAACTGTTTTGTTTTGAATTATATATATTCTTCTTTCAGAGTCTCTGTGCCTGGCTAAAAGTACCTGAACAAACTGACCAAGTGTGATGGATGCACTCAACTCCTTAACCAAACTAGTGGTACAGGCTCCAAAGGAGATAAAGGGTTAAGCCATAACTATGTCAAGAACTTCTTTAGTTCCAATATCTTATCTGAAAACTCACGAAGGAACAAGTGAGCATCAATGCATACGATTAACACATGAATATCAATGTGTTCCAAGACTCATTTGTCAAGGAACAATGAAATTTGTGGGTACAAGGATATTATGTATACCTTTCCCACCGCATGTAGTTAGACTTCAAGCCAGCCACTTTATTCCATTAGTATGACTGCATAAGTGAGCTTTTTTTGAGCTATCCCTGCTAAGCAGCTGGCTGCATGGCAGTCTCACCTTGGGCTAGGGCACCTCCCAGGGTTGCCCCTTGAGGCAGAGAGACCTCTCACCAACTGCAGATCTTTGACAGATGCTGTGCGTAACCTGGCATTTGCTAAGCCACTGTCCATTACATTTGAAAAGTCATGGCAGTCAGGTGAAGTTCCTGACAACGGGAAAAAGGGTAATGTAACCCCCATTTTCAAGAAGGGGAAAATGGATGACCCAGGGAACTACAGACCAGTCAGTCTCACCTCTGTGCCTGGCAAAATCTTGGAGCAGATTCTCCTGGAAGGCATGCTAAGGCACATGAAAAACAACAAGGTGCTTGGTGACAGCCAGCATGGCTTCACTAAGGGGAAATCCTGCCTGACTGATTTGGTGGCCTTCTATGGTGGGGCTATGGAACTGATGGACAGGGGTAGAGCAGCTGATGTCATCTACCTGGACTTGTGCAAAGCGTTCCACACTGTCCCACACGACATCCTTGTCTCTAAATTGGAGAGACATCAATTTGGTAGATGGACCACCCAGTGGATAAAGAACTGGCTGGATGGCCACATGCAAAGCGTTCTGGTCAATGGCTCAATATCCTGCTGGAGTGGTATTCCTCAGGGATCGGTGTTGGGACCGGTCTTGTTCAACATCTTTGTCGCTGACATGGACAGTGGAATTGAGTGCGCCCTCAGCAAGTTTGCCAGTGACACCAAGCTGTGTGGTTCAGTTGATACGCTGGAGGGAAGGAATGCCATCCAGAGGGACCTTGACACGCTTGTGAGGTGGGCTGATGCCAACATTATGAAGGTTAACCATGCCAAGTGCAAGGTCCTCCACCTGGGTCGGAGCAATCCCAGGCACAGCTACAGGTTGGGCAGAGAAGAGATTCAGAACAGCCCTGCGGAGAAGGACTTGGGGGTGTTGGTTGATGAGAAAATGAACATGAGCCGGCAGTGTGCACTCGTAGCCCAGAAACCAACCGTATCTTGGGCTGCATCAAAAGGAGCATGACCAGCAGGTCGAAGGAGGTGGTCCTGCCCCTCTACGCTGCTCTCGTGAGACCTCACTTGGAGTATTGTGTGCAGTTCTGGTGTCCTCAACATAAAAAGGGCATGGAACTGTTGGAACAAGTCCAGAGGCCGATACTTTTGGCAGTGGTACTTTAAGCAGTCTAAATCACCCATCTGTGACACCAAGAGGGGCCATAACAGACTTCCCATTCAAAGGAGGACTTCACCTGTCTGGTAAGTCTTGAAAACCTCCAAGAAAGGCAATAATCAGAGACTTGGAGGTGAGCTGTTGTAGAACTGCACTTCCTTCCAAGGGACAATTTTTAACTAACATCCAACCTGAGCATCCCAAACCACAATTTCTGACTGTTGCCTCATGTTATCTTGTGCCATCTGCCATTACAAGGAAGAGCTGCTTGTCTGCTTTGTAACTAACTGTCTTCCAGGTAGTTGTAGGTTATCTTTAGGTGGTCCTTTAGCCTGCTCTGGAAACTAACCAGGCTTCTAGTTCATGTTCTGTAGGCCACAGACAATTTTGGTACCCCTCTGTGATATCTTCTCCTTTTTCTCAACATCTCTCTTGAACTGGGGTGCTCCCATATTAGTCTCTTTAAGGGAAATATTATAGCCCTGCATCAGCACACAGAGCAATCTAGGTCCTCCTTTTTGTTCATTAACATAGCATCACTTCAGAAGGGCACCTGAGTGTGATGATTCCCCTCTGAAGTATGAGAGCTTCCCCATAATGCTGTCCTTTCAGCTTCTTGTGCATAAGCTTGGTGTGGGCATCCCTTGGTTGCCAACCCAGTCCACCTGTCCTCACTTCATTGTCATTCATAACCTCTCTCCTCATCATTCCTAGTTTGAGCTCTTGTCAGGATGGCCAACCTGTTGGCAAAGATTCTTTCCACTTAAATTGCTGTAATCTGCTCATAGCAGTCCTCAGTGGTCAGCAAGCTTTTATCCCTTGGTCATAAAAGCTGATTCCTTAGTGTTGACATAAGCTGTGCTGTGTTGACCTACAGAATTCTCCACTCGCTGAGGCCACCATTCCCCTTCATTGACAGGACTGAGGAGATACCACCTGAGCTCCCCTGCCTTTGGGTCTAATCTCCAGAGCCAGGTGGTCACACTCGATACACTCAGGGTTTCTCCTCACAGTGTCATTGATACCTCATGGAAGATCAGTACAGGATACTTGTCTTAATGTCCAAAAGATCAGCATGGGGTACTAGTCTCAGTGCCAAACAAGCCTAAGCCGTCTTTCCACAATGTCCTGGATCCAAGCCCTCAGCAAGCAGACCTTCCTAGGCAATAGGTCAGCAGATAAGAGCCTCTATCCCCTAGAGCAGTGACCCTGCCACTATGACTCACTCTCTGCATGCTTAGGCTCAGCTGGCTGTTCTTATGCTCTGTTAAGCAGTTCCCAGGCCCTCATCTGCTTCCAGAACACAGAGCCTATGCTGTAGTCAAAGATCTGCATGCAGAGAAGACATCCACCTGGTGCCAGAAGTCACAAGCTTACAGTCTTCCTTATTCAATCCAGTGCACACAGATGCTGCCTATCCCAGCTTTAGCACAGTTGGGGATTCAAGCTTTTGCAGATGTAGAATCTTGGCATTCTGGTGAGGTGCACTAAAAAGCCTTCTCTCTGACATCCTCCCTAGTTCGAGTCAGCTGAAGAAAAAAAGTCAAAGCACCCTTTTACCATGAATAGCTGATTGAACTCATTTGGAATTGCTTAGACCTAGTAGAAGACCTCCTGTCTTTTCCTAGTAGCAGTAGACACACTGAAGTTCCTGAAAGAATTCCCAGGAGTTCTCCAGTGATCTAGAAATTCCCATAAAATCTAGAAAATCTGGAGGCAGAGCCTGGAGACTGCTGTGCAGTCTGTTGGCTGCCTCCATTAGCTGTCATCATTTAGTCACGTGTGGTTTGGGTTTTTTGTTTGGTTTTTTTTTTTGATTCTCCAAATACAAGTATTTGCACGTTTCCTTAGTAAGAATACTCAGGTAAAGAGTTTTGACGATCTGCTTTAGGAAGGCAAGTGCTAAAATAATTACCATTCAAGGGACTACAGCATCTTGTTGTGTAATAAAGTTTAACTGGCCTTACACCTGAATTTGGGATTTTAAGCAGTGAGTCCACAGCATATACAACACTAACTAAACCACAGCAATGCTGTTTGGCAGTTTACATGCATGGATAAAGAAGGGAATGTAAAAGAGACGTAGGGGACGAGAGGGTGTGCTTGGGCAGGTTTGTGTCTCCTTTCATACAGGGATTGTTGATGTAAATGTTTGTGCTAGCAATATCCCACACTGCCTACAGTTCAGGCAATGTAGGGGTGAACTCACTGAAAGTTATCTCTGCAGAATTCTGGAGGAAAAAAATTAAGTCAGGCAAATATTCAGATTTTTTTTTTCAGGGAAAATATTCAGATTTTTTTCATATTTTGCTGTATCAGTAAATGTTATTTACTGATCTTTGGGTAGATAGAGTGGGTAGATATTTGGGTAGATAGAGAAAATGACTTGGCCTAAAAGGGAAGAATAGCTTGATTAAGGTTCTGAATAGAAAAAATTCATGCCACTTAATCTCCATGGGTCTGTTTTCCTTAATTAGTTGGAGGTAATAGTATGTCCTTTTTGCTTCTTTTTAATTTCTCTTGTCAGTTTTTAGATGAAAGACTGCTTCTGGCTTTTGCTGCTGTGCTATATCATATAACTGGACATGAAGTCCAGGTTTTCTCTATTGAAATCTGTGTTCAACAATGTGCTTGCAATGTTATCTGATTTACTTCCAGCATTTACAAAATCTACACTGATGTTGGTGTACTAATAGTTTTTACCCATATACTGACTTCTACAGTGCGGTAAATATGCCCCTTATGAGTAATAAAAAGGCAATTTTCTGCTTTCTCCATCCTTCAGGAAGAAAGCAAGCCACTGAAACAATGCTATCTACATTAACAGGATCATGTCAAAGGAAAAAAAAACAAAAACAACTTCAAACAGGATGTACAAAAGAGAATTCCCTTTCTCAGGCACTGAATCAGTGACTTGAGACAAGAGAAATGGGGTAGTTAAAAGTTGCTCACAAAACAATGCGATGAAAGACTTCACTTTACGATGTTATTTAAAGTAGAAGCAGAAATATTGGCCTGTATTTCAAGAGTTTCTGATTCTAGTTAGCTAATGATCATATGCATGAGTTTCTGAACAGTTTACTAGAGATGTTGACTGTCTTATAAAAAGCCAGTAATTTGTATGAAAAAGCTTGAAGTCCTTTCAGCTATGAATTTATATTTAATATTGTGTGAAAGAGGCCATGTGAAGCCTTAGCGAAGAAAAAATCACACTCACAACCTCATTCTCATAATTCTTCCCTTAAAATTTTCCCTGCCAGAAACTCCACTGCCTTCCAATGCAGTCCCTAGCTAGGACCTAAATATCCATAGCAGTAGAAAGTTCTCTCATATGTGAACCAAAAATACTTACTAGCTCTTTGCACTCACTCTTTGCCTAAAACTAACTGAGACCAATTTATTCCTGTCTGTTTTGCAGCAGCCATTGAATTGCTAAGATTAGTAACAGGACCTCCTCAGCTCTCTCTAGGCAAAACAAGATTTTCAGTGGTTTAAAGAATGCAGATCATGATCACCGCTATTCACATCTGTGTCCAGTTCTGAAAGAAGAAATAGAGGACACAGTACTCCCAACAGGAGCATTGTCAACAGTTTATTAACTCACAGATGACACTTCTGTTCCTACCTATCTGTGTATGCGCTGTTTCCTCAGAAGCAATATGTTGTTTATTTATGATACACCTTTATCTGTAAGCCAAACATCATGGACCATGCCAACTCTTCTCTTTCCTGGTTGTTCAATTATTTCTGCTAAAGACTACAACCTTGCAGGTTCCCTATTGAGGCACTGTTTTTCTAATTTTTCAACATGTCTTTGGATCTTAATCTGGATTTCTGATGTGCTTGTGATCCCTCATAGCTTCATGTCATTTGGAAATCCAAGGCATCTTTTATCAGATTGTTGACTGCTATCAGGCAAGACAGATCTTTCCAGCTCCACTGAAGACACTGTACGCTGGACTGCAGGAAAAGGAGCGTGTCCAACCGGTCAAGGGAGGTGATTCTTGCCCTCTACCCTGTTCACGTGAGTCCCCAGCTGCAGTACTGCATCCAGCTCTGAAGTCCCCAACAGAAGAAGGAGGTGGACATGTTGCAGCAAGGCCAGAGGAGGGGCATGAAGATTGAGCACCTCTCTTAGGAAGACAGGCTGAAGGAGTTGGGTTGTTCAGCTGGAGAAGGTCCCAGGGAGACCTTAGAGCAGCCTTACAGTACCTAATGGGACTACAGGAAATCTGGAGTGGGACTTTTTATGAGGTCATATAGGACAAGGGGGAATGACTTCAAGCTGAAAGAGGGTAGATTTACACTAGATATTAGGAAAAAAATTCTTCACTGTGGTGGTGCTGAGGCACCGGAACAGGCTGCCTGGAGAAACTGTGGATGCCCCATCCCTGGAAGTGTTCAAGGCCGGGTTGGATGGAGCTCTGAGTAACCTGTTGTAATGGAAGTTTGGGCAGGGTTGTTGGAACTGAATGATCTTTGAGGTCCCTTGCAACCCAAACCCATGTATGATTCTATGGTTATTCCTTCCTAACAGTGAGCTATTGCTAATTGCTTTTTGACTGCACATTGGCACTGTTTTCCATGACAATGCTCCTCATACAAGATTTAATTCCTAATGAGAAACAAATTCTATGTAGAGTTAGTAGTTGCAGAAATACTCTTCCAAAGCAAAGGACAATAAAGCATTCTTGAGTTAAACTGCACTGGGCTGAACAATTTCTGGTGTTCTTTTTAGCACAGCCAGAATGACAAAAGATTTTCAGCAGTATTCATGAAGTTCCTCTGGGAATAATTTTGGTCATCCCACAGCTGTAGAGAAGTCATTGAAACTGTATAGCCATGCTAGTGTTGGACTGTGTTAATATTCTTTGCTTCTTAATGGCATCTTAGCTTGGAGTCAAGCTAGGATTCCTTGCTGCCAGCCTGAACTGTCTCATGAAATGTTGGAGGGAGGGACGGCATAATTGCATTTATTCTGTAGGTGCACACTAAGTGTCCTATGTAAATATGGTTTGAGCTTTCTGTAGAGATTTCCATCATGCCTGTAGTAGGTCACTGGAAAACACAAGGCCTGAGCTTTTATTGAATTGCAGTGTATTGTAGACAAACTTGTGTGGTTCCAGCAACAGTCTCTTCTCCAGGCATATCTCTTTGATCAAGTAATAATGGTGGTTCCTAAAAAGAGACAGTGCACGTATTACATATAATCTGATATGATCTCAGCTAATAGCAACAAGTGTGTAAAAGGTGTGTAAAACTGAAAATCATAGTAGCATAAATAAGTTATGGAATAACTGAAGAAAAAAGGATTGGTATTTGCCATTAACTAATAATTGCACAAAAATCCCTGTGTGAAGCAATTCTTATTAAAATGACAAAGAAGTGAAATGTAAAGAAATAAGAATTAGTATGTAACTTCAAGTCACTTTTTTTTGTATATAATTGGTTATATAATGCTTAATTATTTCAGTTCTGGTTTTATTCACAACGTCCATTTCCCCAGTGAAGACTGAGATACATGAAGTTCACTTGTTCTGTAGATCTTTCATATTTTATTTCCTCCCACTTATCAAATGGAAAGGCTGCAGTTTAGTTATTCTGAATTATTCAAACCAAGTTCAGAAGCTAAAAAAATGATTCTCTATAATCTTTTTGTTTATGGCCCTTATCTGTCATGTCATATAATTCAAATTTATAGAATCATAGAATCATAGAATTGTTAGGGTTGGAAAGGACCTTAAGATTATCTAGTTCCACCCCCCCTGCTGTGAGCAGGGACACCTTACGCTAAATCATATCACCCAAGGCCTCGTCCAACCTCGTCTTGAACACTGCCCGGGGTGGAGCATTCATAACCTCCCTGGGAAACCTATTCCCGTGCCTCACCATCCTAACAGGAAAGAATTTCCTTCTTTCATCCAACCTAAACTTCCCCTGTTTAAGTTTTAACCCGTTACCCCTTGTGCTATCACTGCAGACTCTACTGAAGAGTCCCTCTCCATCATCCCTATAGGCCCCCTTCAGATATTGGAAAGCTGCTATGAGGTCTCCACACAGCCTTCTCTTCTCCAGGCTGAACAGCTCCAACTTCCTCAGCCTGTCTTCATACAGGAGGTGCTCCAGTCCCTTGATCGTCCTCGTGGCCTCATCTGGACTTGTTCCAACAGTTCCATGTCCTTTTTATGTTGAGGACACCAGAACTGCACACAATACTCCAGGTGAGGTCTCACGAGAGCAGAGTAGAGGGGCAGGATCACCTCCTTTGACCTGCTGGTCATGCCCCTCTTGATTCAGCCCAGGATACGGTTGGTTTCCGGGCTGCAAGCGCACACTGCCGGCTCATGTTCATTTTCTCATCAACCAACACCCCCAAGTCCTTCTCCACAGGGCTGCTCTGAATCTCTTTCCTGCCCAACCTGTAGCTGTGCCTGGGATTGCTCTGACCCAGGTGGAGGACCTTGCACTTGGCATGGTTAACCTTCATAAGGTTGGCATCAGCCCACCTCACAAGCGTGTCGAGGTCCCTCTGGATGGCATTCCTTCCCTCCAGCGTATCAACCGAACCACACGGCTTGGTGTCATCGGCAAACTTGCTGAGGGCGCACTCGATCCCACTGTCCATGTCAGCGACAAAGATGTTGAACAAGACCGGTCCCAACACCGATCCCTGAGGGACACCACTCGTTACTGGTCTCTAGCAGGACATTGATCCATTGACAACAATTCTTTGCATGTGGCCATCCAGCCAGCTCTTTATCCACCAAGTGGTCCATCCATCAAATTGATGTCGCTCCAATTTAGAGACAAGGGTGTTGTGTGGGACAGTGTCGAACGCTTTACACAATTCCAGGTAGATGACATCAACTGCTCTACCCCTGTCCATCAGTTCTGTAGCCCTATCATAGAAGGCCACCAAATTGGTCAGGCAGGATTTCCCCTTAGTGAAGCCATGCTGGCTGTCACCAACCACCTTGTATTTCGTGTGCCTTAGCATGCCTTCCAGGAGAATCTGCTCCAAGATTTTGCCAGGCAGAGAGGTGAGACTGACTGGTCTGTAGTTCCCTGGCTCATCCATTTTCCCCCTCTTGAAAATGATGGTTATAATTCCCTTTTTCCAGTCATCTGGAACTTCACCTGACTGCCATGATTTCTCAAATATGATGGCCTGTGGCTTCGCAACTTCATTTGCCAAATGTATGTACATCAATTTAATCTAATAATAATTTCCCATCTTTTCTCTATCTAACTTAGTTGGAAACTAAAGATGCTAAAGCTACCAAATTTTGTGGTGGTATTAGCAATGTAGTTGCACTAAGCACAGTAATAAATTCATCACTAACTAATGAGTGTTTACACCATTTAGGCACTTACTTACCCTTGAGGGTGCTTGAGTTTAGAGACCAGCGTCTTCCAAGTATCTTTAAAAGTCCTAGTTTCACCTCTGAGTAGATAAATTCCAACCTGCTCATGTCTCAGAACTATTCTTTCCTATCAGGTTGCACCAGGTACAAGTAGGCTGCCTTTCAAACTCCCACGAGCTTTTTTGTCTTTCTCAACAATGTCATAGCTTTAACTGGAGGGAAGTGTCTGTCCCCATTTACACAATCCTTAAACCTGTAGCTTTAGTCATTTCTGGGGGTTGTTCCAAGTGTATATTTGAATTTCTTTCAACTGAAGATAAAGGATTGAATCCTTCTATATACTTTCATATTGAGCACTCTGGTCAGTAGATTATTATAAAAGGACGGTGTGCCTTCACATTTTATAAGAGGGTGTCCTCAGCATCTTCCTGTGAGGGACAAATATGTGCAACGTGCAATAGTCATTCCTTGAGAAATTAGCTTCCTGGGAATTCCCCCACCTAGTTTTTGACCTCAGAAACATTTGTGCAGGTTTTACGCTCCTCACACTGAAACAGCTGTGTGCGTATGAAGTCTAGGTGCTTGGGAAATGTGAATGAAGAGATGCCAAGTGCATTCAGACTTTCAGATTAATGGGTACCTAGACGAATTCCAGAGGGGGAACCAGCTTTTGCCTAAAAGTCTTTTTAAGTAGCTGTGCTGTTTATTGGCTCACCCCGAAGACATCAATCTCAAAAATATCCAGTCTCAGAGTCTCAAATTTGAGGCACTAAGGGCATTATTTTCAAATAGGGTCGTTTTTTTGTTTGGTGGGGTTTTTTTTGGAGGTTTTTTTGTTGGGGGGTTGTGTTTTGTTTTGTTTGTTTGTTTGTTTGTTTTTGTTTTGTTTTGTTTTGTTTTTTTCCTGGAGAAACTCTCTGCTACCATCTTGTGGTAAACTAGCGGAAGAGACATCAAGAGCAAACATTTTTACTTGTGTGGGGAGTCACGGGTTAAAATTCATTATGTATTTGGAGCACTGGACTAATATCGAAAGTGTGATAGATTTCAGGAAAGGAGAGTGAGCAGCATTCTTGATCGAAGTCGTTTTTCTATTGTCATATATTGAGATTGTGTGCGCAGATATTCTGGATATGCGCTATTTTTTTAATGTGAGAAAGTTTGCTAGGATGAAAAAGGGACTCAGGAGTTCTGACTGTGCGATCAGAACATTAGTTATAGTGGTAGCAGGGCTACTTGATGAACTTTATAGTTCATTAGACTGCATTTATTTAGGTCATATATACAGCACTATCCCATTGAGGTACAACAGATATAGCCTGTTTTGAGTGATTGTGTAATGGACTTGGACATATCCAAGAGGAGAAGGTGGTTCCCTGTGGATTCTTGCTGTGCTATGGACTTTCACTCTCATGTAAGAACAGATGTGAAGTCTTCTGCTAACTCAGTATCTGATGGAAAAATCATGCATATTACCCACTGAAGCCATTAACAGTAAAGGAGCTCTAGTTGATACCCATTACTGTTTAGCACAGATGAAACTGAAGTAACCAGAGAAGAGCCAGGCAAGGCACTGGGCGAGCAGGCAGTAAGGGAGAACGAATCCCAGCATTTGCATAACAAAGATCAAGGATGTAATGTTCAGGATTGTATCAGTGTATGGACAGTAATGCTTTCAGATGCAAAAGGTAACATTCCAGCTGGAGATAACAGCTACCAAGAGGTGACATATAGGTTACTTGTCTGCAAAAATCCCCCTGGTGGCTTGGGACTAACCTAAGGCCATTCCTGAGTTCTGGGGCGCAAGAAGTCTGACAGGACATGATGGAGTACAGGCATGCTTCTCTGCCAGATAGTTACAAAAATGAGACTAAGGCAAAGCACTGTTTCCCACAGGGTGACTGTTGACTTGCTACAAAAGTATAGTTGCTTCCTTAGGCGTTCCACTTTCCCAAATTAATTCTATGCTGTTCTCATTCATAAGGGAATTACTTGGTTTACACACAGCTTCAGAATACGTCTACTGTAAATTGATATGAACTAGCAGGCTAAATGGACTTGCCAGATGCTTTCAGACCTCACTTCTAGTTATTTAAAATTAGTGTAGGGATTTCCACCATATCAAGCCTTGAGGGTGGAGGAACAGCAGTAAATACCCTCCAGATTTCCTTCAAATGCCATTTTCAGAAACTATTAAGTCATTTGGACTGAAGTTTAAAAAAAACATACAGAGGCCTACAACAAAAAACTGGCACAGAAAATTCCAACCTTACTGAGTTTTTCAACTGGATAAATAACTGACAGTACCATCTCCAAATGGTAATGCTACCTTTATATACCTGCTTATATGTCAGTTCACAGTAGTCAGTAAAATGAATTGGAAAAGCGCTTTGTAAGCCCTAAGGTGTACCAATGAGAAAAAAAAAAAAAAAAAAAGGTTTTTTTGTCCCATGTCTTGGCTTTGGATTGCTTATTCAGCAGCCTTGTTCCTGAAAGTCTTGACAGTGGAAAGTCTGTGGAAAGCAGAATCAAGAGGTAAGCTTTCTAAATGCTGTATAATGTAAAATGCCTCAGAATCACTCAAACTCCGTTCTTTGTAAAGTATTGATACATCCTGGATGACAAACCTCATGCATTTAATGGAAAAATTAAAAATGCTGGGTGTTAATTGCATGTACTGGAAGTAGCAACCCAAACTCCTATCACTGAGAATTAGTGAACTATCTCTTTCCTCTTCCTACACAATTTAGAGTCTGGCATAGGATGCATGAGATTTAAAGAAAGAACAAATCAAAGTGCAGAAGGTC